GATTTATAAATTAGTGGCAGCGAATGACGCCATTCCATATCAAATCAGAAAATTCTGAATTGTGGTTGAATTGTAGCAGAAATCTTGCTGATGCGTACCAATCAGAACCAAATCAGATAATGAATTAAAGCTTTATTTATGCTGATTTTTTAGACTTTAACCAGTGGTGTAAAAGAGCGCGAATAAAATATTTATGCTGACAACATGAGAAGCGAATTACTAAATTAAAAAATTTTTTTTCTAATGACCACTTCACCATTATACGTACAATCAAAGTGATACTGTTCAAAATTCCCCCAAAAAGTAACTAAACTATTTAGCTTATTACCTGTGCATCTCTGTATTGAGTAATACCAACATAGTAATTACGTAGAAAATTAATCTGATGACTCACACCATATTCCTATATTCTTGTAAATATTTTTATAGCAGAAATAAAAATTCTTATGCACCAAATTTTACATCATATCCAATGGCAGTCACAGTTTCTTTCACTACGCTTACCCTCCCTTAATATAATACTGATATGGTGTGGGACACCTAAAGACCGAACAGTCCGAAATTTCGTTCTGCAGATCACTTATCAATCACATGATATTTGTCCAATAAAATTCTTTAAAATAATAATGCAAATTTCGCTTTATTTTGAAAATATAACACTTTCGCCTGCGATATTTCAAACTCCGGGTCAAAATTATCTCTGTGTAAGAACAAAACTTTAATATTGAACTTGGAATTAATGTTGCAGATTGAACAGCACATACTTACTTATATAATGCATTTAAGAAAATTGATCGAACTAATTTGTTCTTAATTCCTCCTCCCATGCATGTTCGGGGATTCTTCTGTGCGGCTTTTCTTTTATTTGGTCGAGGCATATTAAAACAATAAAGAATGTTACGAGAACAATAATGCTAAACTTTCACTTTATTGGATAATGGAATGTTACACAAATAAGTTGCACAAACTGGACGTCCGAAATTTTCATTTTTTTCTTAAGAAACTTAAGAAAACTGTTGCTTTCAAATGCCTAAAACTCAAAACTTTTTTAATTAATTAAAAATTCTAAACCGTAATTTTATTCTACTTCCAATATAAAAGCCTTAGGGTTTTGAAAGTTGGGTATTTTATTTCGGGCTTTAGGTGTCCCACACCATACCAAATAAGCAATTTTGTGTTACATAACATGTGATACTCACAATATTGAATTTCGAAGTAATAAAATAAGGCATTATTGTTTAGTGTGAGACGCAAGTCACTAAATAAAGTTAGTAATAATTAGACTATTGATGTATTGTTGATGTCTAATGATATGTGTTACAGAAATGGGGTTCATAGTATAATGAACGCGGATGTAGTTAAAGTCATGACTCTATAGTAATAGTAAAAACTCTATCATAAATGATCATACAATATGTTGCGCATACCGATACATCATAAATATTTAAATACATAACATCAACAAAAGTATAAGTTAACAAATTGATGCAGGCTTGTCATTCAAATTTAGTCTAAACGTAAAGTTTCGTCGATCTTGCTAGATATAGTAAGGTGGAGATCTCACTCTTTCCATTTGGAAAATATTCGGCGGACATCTTTTTAGTGTAAAAAAAAGTCAGAAGAAAAAGTGGCAATGATATGTGTGAAAAGACCAAGTAGTCCTTTGAACAACAGATTTGACAAATGTAACAGTAAGCAAGGCTCGTTATTTGAATTATCACAGACAGTGCCATATTATTATCTATTGCTGTTTATGCGACAGTATTGTTTACTCTGCAAGTTTGCTGCTGCGGGGTATGTAAACAAATTGCTATATAAACACCCTCTGTCCGTACATTTGTTTCTTTAAACTTCTATTGGTTGCGGAATCATGTTCTCGAAATTGTATATTATAATTAACGCGCATTATTAGATACTGCTAATAAAATTCAATTGCGGTTCAGATTATTTATCTGCTCATCATAAGTCTCCCAGTGTCTCATGTCTTGACTTAGTATATGGCCTTGTGAATTCTGCAACTGCAAACCACCCTACGGTACTCTTGCTCAATGGGTAAGAGATTCAGGGAAGAAGTTGATATTCATGTGATTGTAAAAGCGTTTAAGTGTTGTGTCAAATTGGACGGGACAGAGGATGATGTGGTGTTTGATTATGAACTGTTAGATGAGAATAAAATTCTGAAGTAATGAATTTCAATAGTATTGACGGTGAAGAATATGAAGAAGTCGGAGGCAGTAATGTTTGGGAACAATCATAGTTTAACAAATTTTGTGTTATCTCTGATCTTAAATTTAATTGGCGTAGAAGGAGGGTACAAATCACAGGTGGGTATATATGCCGGAGGGATACCATAACTAATACCGGGTATAAATCAAAATTTGGTCTTCAAAATTTTGGTCGATCTTTGACCATATATAGGAAAACATGATTAAATCGTTATCCTAATAAGTAGCGAGTATGCCTATATAAAGTTAACTCGTAAAAAAAGATGTGGAGCATTCTTATATTAGTGCTAAATGTTAATAAATCCAATTTCAGATATTATGACCAACGGTCAGTTTTTACATATATGTAAAAAATTAATTAGCATGTATTAAATCGCGCGGTAATTATTGTTGATAATCAACCCTTTTTATAACAATTTGATCATTTCAGCTGAAAAGGTTATCATACGTCGGCCGAACAATCAATAAGAAAATTTATCACCTCACAAAAATTAATTATCGGAATAAAGAATGACCTTTTCATTAGAGACTCGTTGCATTATTTATGACTTCGTATCAACGTACGGTGATAAACCGCCCAAAATTGAAACCACTGTACTACCTGGGCGAAATAGTATATTAATATAGCTACAGCAATTTGCACATACTAACACTCCTCTTCCTCAACCCCAAACAGCCGACAGCATGAACAACATATATTTTTTCCTCGTTTTGTTAGTTGCATTTACTTTTCTGATGACTACAACGGTCACAGCTGTTCCTGCCCTAGTAAAGCGAGATTGCGAAGGTGGGTAATTAATAAATGTACAAGTAAAAGACTTTGTTTCAGCGTTTTTATGGATGAAGTCTATCAACACTCAACTTTTTTGACAATCAGGCTTCACCATTAGTTATCCAGCTGGCGGTGAAACATTTAAGTATGGTAGTAATCAAAACGTCACTGTCCAAATCGGCTCATCTGGAGTTTATGTGATTACAACCGTCACCATATACGATAGTGATAATAATTTTGTTGGTTTATTATTTGGAGGCGAAGCACCAGTGAAAGGCAAAAGCGAGGTTACCGTATCGTTTAAGTTAGACGGCGACTTTTCGCCGCCTAAAGTATGTTATTACGGCGTAGAGGGATACTATACTCCTACATCAGGTTGCCATACGTTCAGTAACTCCTTCAATGTAACACGTAAATGAAAATGAACAAATTTTGATCTGTACGATTTTTTTCTTAACATATAATAATTTAAATTTTTTATTACATTCTTGTTATTGTAACTTCTATAATTGCTAATACTACGGTTGTCATTGTCGTTATAAAGGATATACAATATTATACGACTTTAATTTATACCTCGATAATCTTTAAAGTGTGCTTGCGAGCCAAGTACTTTATCAAACTTCATCGAGTTTTCTTTGTTATCAAAAGAATAGCTTCTGAATTTTAAGAATATTAAAAAAATTATGCCATTAAATAGGGAACTTACAGATTTTGAAAGAGGTAGAGTAATCGGACAGTGGGATTGTGGGAAAAGTGCCCGTGAGATTGCTAAAGCTCTTGGGCTTTCACAATCGCAAGTTATCCGTGCGATTAAATGCATTTAAGGATAGCCAAAGGACGACGGTTTAACCTAGGAGTGGAAGGCCGTCAATGTCCGATCGGAACGTACGCTACTTTAATGTTGAGATTATCAGTTCTATATTCTATATCTTCTTCTTTTAATTGACGAATACTATCACATAAAGGTGTTATCACTAGGGAAATTTCATCTTTAAATATCAGGCATGGAAGATATGGTGAATTTAGTTGTTCTGTCAAATTTTGGATGACCTGACTTTTTGTTTCAAGATATTAATATTGGCTGTCTCTCTCTGGGTGTTTCAAAACCTTGACAACAACAGATTGTGTCCTATACTCTCCTTTAAATACTGTGCTTGTTCTCCCTGCATCTAGACAGCAAACTAGACTGACCCACCATATGTTTCCATTCATCCAAGAGCACAGGAATCTTGACAAAGCAATGTCATCAACCATTTCCAACCCGCACATGAGTTGTCACCTTCATAAGTCAAATATTCTCAGCTTGTGTATCTATACTTGAACTGTTCATTAGAATGAGTCTCTCTAGTTATTTTAAATATCTGAATATGATGATAATCTGTGAGCACAGCATGCACCAAATGTCACTGTGGTTGCAGCTGTAACAGTTTCTCTGTGAAAGCTATGTTACCCACATCTTCATCAGAGAAGTATGCTGTTTGCTTTGGTTTGATTTCGAAGATAATTTCAACATTGAGAGGATCTAATCTCTGATCTTTTTCTAATCCCACACAGTCAGGTTTTCTTGTACATAATATTGGAATAAGATGTGTATCTTCCACATAAAGGCATGCAGCTGGCAGTTTGGCACATGCCTCAATAAAATAGCTTTGATAATCTTCTTCCCGGGTACTAGTAGGAGGATCACGAAAACGTCCCAATTTATTCTGTTTGCCACATACAACATCAATTATTTGGAAAGGAAACCCCATATTTGGCAAACGTCCAAGACTTTACGCCCTTTTTCTGTTGTTATTAAAGTCACTGTAAAGATGGCTTGCTAAGTGATCATGGAATACGGCGACGTTTCGTAAATAAGACATACCAGAAAATGTGTACCAGTCTTCAATTAAAAACTTTGCCTCTTGACGTCTATAAATTTCGTCCACTTTTCTCTTTATAGCCAATAATTCTTCGATCACGCAAATAAGGAAAGAATTAGAATAGGATTATTAATAAGGAGGATCGAGATAAACATCATGCTTAAAACCAGGTTCAATGAAAGATGAATGGAATGGAAATCAGCTTGAAAATGAGTACTTACGGCTGTCATCAGCTTCTATAATGGACGCGGAAAAGGGAAAATATCAATCAGTCAAATATTAAAGATGAACAACCATTATGTCTTGCACTATAAGCATGTTACCTCACCTACTTGATCGATGGAAGAATGATGTCAGAAAGTGCAGATATGAAAAAATAACATTTTGCAAGAAAACTATATTACAACCCACATTACTATGTCTACTCTACCCTATGTACACACTATTCTATGTCCCCAACGCCCGAGTCACAAAGTCGTACCTGCTTCTGGTTTTATGAGGTCCCGCAGATATTGGATCTTCGCATCGTCGTCCTTGCAAGTTTAAGTTGAGCTTCCATTTCCAATTGCTTCTTCCATATCATGAGTACACGTACATTGCGATTCAATCATATACGGCAGGATGCCGGTCTTCTTCCAGCAGTTTACTACAATAGTGCTTGTTTTAACACAATCCCACGAGTCCGCAACCATATATATCGCATCTTTGATGTACTAAAGCACCTCCAAAGAACATTCTTCTTCGTTGGCCACAACACCAACAATCCCCACATATGAATCAAAAATCCCCGTGCAACAATCGTCGCCAGTTATTGTAGCAAAAATTATAGACTTTATTAATATTGCGGAATATTTTGATAGTTAATATGGTAAAAGGGGGTATTAAAGTTTTTGCTTAGACAACTTTTTATAAACCAAATAAAATTTCATTATATTTTTGACACATAATCTACGCCTTAGGACTTAAGTTTATCATAAAATTGTTTATGACACCATTTTCGGGACGCAAGTTTAATTGTATTATACAATCATTAATGTTATGCTGTCATATCATGGTTTGTCTTCTTTTTCTTGTATTTTTGTGCACGTTCTTTCCTTTTTTGGCCGCAACTTCTTTTCCTCGTCTGTGAAGGCAGCCATTGTAACAATAATATACATAGACAAACTCGATTAAATATAGTCACTTTAAGATAAAATATATCTAATTCCCTATCTGGTAGTAAAAAACTACGAGAAAGACTTTAATGGGACTGCAAAAGAAGAAACTCTGTGAAATGTTCAATACGCGCTTAAGTAATTGAAACACGCAAACAGTCCAATATATCAATATTTCACCAAT